TATATCAATATCTATGTATATATATACTTTGGGGATTCATCTGTGCTTTTTTGTGATTTAGTAGCCAGTGCCTTTCTATTGCGAAGTAGTATTTGACTGCATGGATACACCACATTTTGTTTATCCATTCATCAGTGGATAGACATTTGGGTCGTTTCCACCTTTTGCCTATCATGCATGATGCTGCTATAAACATTCGTGTACAAGTTTTTGCGTGGACCCGTTTTCATTTCTCTTGAGGTATATACCTAGAAGTGGAATTGTCAGACTGTTTTCCCAAGTGATTGTAGCATTTCACATCCCCAACAGCAGAGTACAAGAGTTCTAGTTCCTTCACATCATGAGGTCTTAGCCACCAGCTCTTCCTTGTCATTTCATGTTGCATCCCCTCCCCCAAGAGTTTCTTCCCATCCACTCCTTTGGTGGTATCTTTCAGTCTCTTGGCTTTAAAAGCCATCTCTTTGCTGATAACACCCAGATTCCGATCTCCGGCCACCACTCTCCCCTGAACTCCATCCAGACTTGTCCAGGTTTGCCCAGGACGGTCCTGGGTTATACGTTATTATTCTGACATAATTATTAATAGTGTTCTGGTGTATTACTTTCCTATTGTAGCTGTAAAAAATCACCACAAACTCAGTGGCTTAAGCAACACAAATTTATTATCTTACAGTTCTGTAGGTCAGAACTCTGACATGGTACTCACTGGGCTAAAACCAAGGGCTCTAGCAGGACTGTGGCCCTTTCTGGAGGCCCTGGGGGACTGCCCATTTCCTGGCTCATTCAGGTTGTTGGCTGAATTCAACTCCTTGTGGTTGTAAGACTGGAATCCTCTTTCCTTGCTGGCAGTCAGCTGAGGGTTATTCTCAGCTTCTAGAGGCCACCCTACACCTTGGCTCATGGGCACCTTTGTCTTCAAAGTTAGCAGCAATGAGTCAAGTCCTTCTCATGCCCCATTTCTTCTGCCTCTTGTTCCATCCTTGAGTCTCTCCGACCCGCTCTTCACTACCTCCCTCTTCCATGGTTAAGGACTCATGTGATTAGATTGGGCACACCTAGATAAACCATGATCATCTCTCCATCTCAATGTCCTTAAACCTTAATCACATCTGCAAAGTCCCTTTTGCCATATGAGGTAAATAGTCACAGGTTCCAGAGATAAGGATGTGGATACCCTTGAGGCAGGGATCATCATTCTCTCACCCCAGGTTTGGACAACTGTCTGCTTGACTTCTCTACTTGGATGTTTCATGGGCATTTCAAATCTAACATGTCCAAAAGAGAACTTTTAATTCCTTCCCCACCAAAAATCTACCCTACATTGTCACATGGCAACATTATCCACCTTGTCAATCAAGTCAAAAGCCGAAAACCTAGGTGCCATCTTTAATTGCTTCCTTTTATTTGCTACATTCAATTGCTCCTCAAATCCTGCTGAGTTCAACTCCAAAATATGTCTGAATACTCTCTTCTCTCCAGCTTTAGTGCTACCATTCAAATCTAAGGCATCATTTCATTTTTTAAAAGATTTCATTTATCTATTTGGGAGAGAGAACAAGTGGGGTGGGGAGGGGCAGAAAGAGAGGGAGAAACAGACTTCCCGCCGAGCAGGGAGCCCCATGCGGGGCTCGATCCCAGGACCCTGGGATCATGACCTGAGCCGAAGGCAGACGCTTAACCCACTGAGTCACCCAGGTGCCCCCAAATCTAACTTCTTATTATCGCGCCAACAGTGACATATGATCTGGCCCTCTGTCCAGCCTCATCTCTCACACACACTTTTGCACCTCTGTTCCCTCTGCCAGAATGCTCTTCTCCCTAGCTCTTTGCACGGTTGGCTCATTGTCATCTTTCAGGTCTCATCTCAAATATCACCTCTCAGAGCACTTAAAATATTTCCCTCAGGGGCGCCTGGGTGGCTCAGTCGTTAAGCATCTGCCTTCGGCTCAGGTCATGATCCCAGGGTCCTGGGATCGAGCCCCGCATCGGGCTCCCTGCTCAGCGGGAAGCCTGCTCTCCCTCTCCCACTCTCCCCGCCTGTGTTCCCACTCTCCCTGCCTGTGTTCCCCCTCTCGCTGTGTCTCTCTCTGTCAAATAAATAAAATCTTTAAAAAAAAAAAATTTCCCTCACTCCCACCTAATTCTCTGATAAAGCACCCTGTTTGTTCCCCTCATACCATTACAATTTATAATTACCTGACTTGCAGATTACTTTTTTATTGACTCTCAATCTTCTAGAACGTAAGCTCCAGGAGGGCAAGGAACTTATCTGCTTTACTTTCCACTGTGTCCAGAGGTCCCAACAGTTGTCAAATTGATGTGTGAAAGCCAGTCTTCTTACTCTATCCCACTTTTTGCTTGCTTCCATCTTTGCGACACTGCATATGACCCACCTTCAACCTGCAACCTATCCTTAGACCTATTCGATCTCCAAACTATTCTTGACCAACTAATATCCTCTCCTTTCCTTCAAAACTTAGCTCAAGACTCGTTACTGGCTCCTCTCACCTATGAGGATCCCTTTCTTTTTTCTTTCTTTTTAAGTAGGCTCCACACCTGTTGTGGAGCCCAATGTGGGGCTTGAACTCACGACAGGGGTTTGAACTCACTGAGATCAAGACCTGAGCTGAGATCGAGTTGGACACTCAACTGACTGAGCCACCCAGGCGCCCCTATGATGATCCCTTTAATCACTGATTCAGTAGGTATACAGGGAGCCCCTTGGTAGTCTTATAGACAGTTGCTACCACATTATCATGTCTTTGCTTGTACTTGCTTTGTAATCAGGGCCATTTCTTGTATGTAGGGATGTTTTATCTTTAAGACTGTGCTTTTCCTGCATTAATGTTGTATCACATTTCTTTATAATCCTCCTAAAGTACTTAGTCCACTTTGATGCACACCTGCAGCCGTAAAGCAGAAAAGCAGAACACTCCCTGAGAAAATGAAAATAAGCTGGAAGTTTATTTTAGGAACAAAGCTAGAGGTTTTTTAAAGTTAATTTTATTTATTTATTTATTTATTTATTTATTTATTTATTTTAGTAATCTCTACACCCAACGCGGGGCTCAAACTCACGACCCCAAGATCAAGAGTCGCACGCTCTTCTGACTGAGCCCGACAGGCGCCCCCCAAAACCAGAGTTTTAAGAGTTGTCCTGAAATTAGAAAAATGAGGCATTCCTTTTCCCCACTTAACTTTTTTTTTTTT